GGACTCATCTAGCTGAAGGCGCTCGGTCATGCATCCGCACCAGATCACGTGTGGTAACGCCGTGCTCAACATCAACCGCAATCGCTAGCCAGATTAGATCAGAGAATTCCGATATATTGGTTATCGCCAAATACACTCTTCCGATCTCCTCGACTCTGTCTTTTGACTTCTCTGGGTGGGAACGAAATATATTAGAAGGTGTTACTGGTAGAAGCGTTGTCAAACACTGAATACCTGTGACATCATCAAAACCAAGTTCCCGCTTAAAAGTTGTATTGGTAATGTTAAGCTGCAGTTTTTGTTGTTTTTTCCAAACGAAAGAGTAAAAGAAGTCAAAAAATAGTGGAAGTGGTTGTGAGACTAAAATGGACGTCTAGCATTCTTTTTATTATCTGCTGTTCGTTGGGTCTCCCGTAAACAGTCCCATAGGGCCATAGTTCCAAGGGCGAAACAGTTTTTAGGGTCTGTGAAGGCTCACTCCTGTTGCATTCTAAATGAAAAAAATAGTGATGAATTTATTCAGAAATGTGAAACAGATAAATAAACAAATTACATGTTTTTTAGCAAAGAATTTATGCAGTTGTGATTTACCTCGAGTTCATGAATATTGGATAAGGTCAGCTACTATTACTTGCGCAAAGCAAAACATGGGCTTAGTACCGTATTGCAATGCTTTTATTGTTTTGCTCCCGTTTAAGTATTCCCAAACATCTGCGTCTAGTTTATTAACAGGAAAACATACAAGCAGAGTTGGTGTCTGATGAACTAAAAGTCCCAGCTGTCAAAAAGATTCTAAACATTTGTCCACAGCCAGCTGCATTTAATTGAAACACAGAACACTCATCTTCTAAGACCGTAAACTGCTCTTTTGCGCGCAAATAAAAGCTCAGACACTTAGCTATCTTGCTACCGATGTTATTGTTGGGGAAATTGTTTAATGACAGTGATAATGAAATATGGTTAGTGATAGATGTACAGTTTAGAAATAAACGCCAAATATACTTATCGCTATCTTATAATGCATGACAGCAACAGCATCAAAGGCACGTTTTTTCCTATTTTTAATCAGGCTGATCTGAATCCGTATACACATTAGAAACAGGCAACCCTACTTACTAAACTGATCTGTTTCGTTACAGGCATCAAGCACTATACTTAAGTATATCATAATTCTTTCAACTAAACTGAATTATACGACAACCAAGAACACTAAACTAAGCAAGTGTTATAGTTATTGTTTCATTTGCACAGACATGCTGCTCAAAGTAGTTAAATGGACATAATTAAATCGATAAAACCAAAACACGAAATATAGGCCAGTTGGACTTACCTAAGAAATTTCTTTTTTTAAAAAGAAGGATACATATATACTGCTTTCATATTGAAGACTACAGGCAGTTGTTCATACAAACACAGTTTACAGTACAACAAACCTTTCTTCACTAAAATCATGCACTGACAGTCTATCTGGAAACAATCAACTATGTGAATAAACTCACTATGACTTGGGATATCATCCCAGCGTGCAATGGACGTACAGTGTAACGCAGCCGGACGCGGCGAATAAAAATTAAAAACAGAGCAAAATTAACTACATATTCTAGTTATTTAGTAAAAAATACATTATGAAATGACAAAATCTGTGGTTACTTGAACGCACAGATGACCTTGTGTGATACATTAAGTTTACATGGTTGCGTTGCGGATAAGATCACCCATAACTTTCACGATTAGCAGTGTGTTACACTAAATCTATATCTAATCCACAAAACAGAAGCCCTAACCATCTGATTTACTTGTAACATGGAACAAGTAGTGACAGTGTATTTCAACAAGACTCTATGAATAAAAAGATATTCATACACACCACAAACGTAAGAAAGTCCAACATGACGAAGGAGGGAAGATGTCGTTACTGACAGGCAAACATGATGGTGAGGAGATAACTTCGATTCACCCATGTGTTCAAGGCAGAATATTTTATTTAATTACGACTCATTATGTTCAATTGGAACGTCACGAACCAGTGGTATTGATACCAATTTATTATGCAAAATACCCATTTAAATCGTGTTTGTGATGTGTAGATAGGCCTGACAAGCTTATTTTGTAAATAGTTTTTAATGTTATTTGTATTTATTTTTTCAATTTTGCACTTTATGTACATTTGTCATTAAATGACTGTACCTGTTGTTTTAGTGAATGACCTTGAGCACTTTTTCCGTTGTGTTACTAACATAGCGTGACACACTTGTGGCTGTTCGCAAATACACTACTACGCACACACTCCTGATTCTATTCTCACTCGTTATCGAGCCAATTGCATTCTAAATCGAATATCATCCACATTTTACACTGTTGTGTCATTACTATTACATCCTACGTCAAGGAAACTTACTGGAGTCATATTTACCTCATCGGAGTTATTACTCATTTATAATTGTGGATTTTGGTACAAAAACTCAACGGAATACGCGACAACTAGCTGATTTAAGTAACGTCTCTGAACTTTTATTTTGTGTTACTAATTTATAAATTATTAGTGTTATATTGACTTTTGGACGTGATAATTTTATTGCTAATGTTTGGTTAATATACTTTTTGTTCCACCACAGTGACGTTGAATTGGTTTCACTTCGTACCGAGCAATCCTATTCTAAGCAAAACTGGACATTTCACTATAGATGAGGCGTGCTAATGAGCCTATAAACTCACTAAAGATAAAAGTGAGCTGAAATAGCTTCGACAAAAAGGGAGATACCCATTTGTGTATCAGAAATGTTTTTCAGAACTATATTCTAAAACTACACATAATCCTATACTTTCAGCTTCTCTTCTAACCCCCTCCCTTCATACAGTTGTTTGTCCATTCAAACCATATTTACATTTTTTTCTTCAACCTATTAGAATGCTCTTGCTTAAAAAGTGCCTTAATAATGGGAACTTAGTAGTCACACCTTCACTATTTCACCACATATGACTCAATTTCAATAGGCATGAACGTCGTCTATCTTGTTTCTTGTCCTTCCTTTGTCTTACTTCCTTTTCCAGCCCCCGTCAAGATATGCCGCCGATAAAGCATATGAAACAGCTGATTTCGTTCTGCGCCACCATTATTACCTCAGATGTTGATGAAAGAAATAAGGTTGCGGTTTATAGAAGATCTCAAACGTTCGTGGATTTAAAGTGGCATTGGGCCCTAACTACAAAATCCTGAAAGCTGAACACGGTAAAATTGGGAAAATAGATATTCAATATTCAACGTAGAGAAAAACCCAACAATAAGGAATGCGGGAAGAATAAGTTGAATTAATTCTTGTTTATCAAATGGCACTTATCGACTTAGAATACGCAGATGACATAATCCTGTTTGGTGAAGACGCTGACAAAATGCAGAGTCTTCTGCTAGCACTGAGCAACAATACCAGAATCTTTGGAATGCGCTTCTCTCCCTCTAAATGCAAGTTGTTGCTTCAGGACTGGTCTGCGTCAACACCTGAACTAAGGATAGGCAGTGGAGTAGTCGAACGCGTTGACAACTTCACTTATCTTGGAAGTCTGATCAGCCCTAATGGGTTGGTATCGGACGAAATCTCAGCACGGATTCGAAAAGCTCGTTTGGCTTTTGCCAACCTACGTCACCTTTGGCAAAGGCGAGATATCAGTCTATCAATAATAGGACGAGTATACTGCGCGGCAGTCCGTTCTGTTTTAATTTACGGCAGCGAAACATGGCCATTAAGAGTAGAAGACACTCGTAAGCTACTAGTATTTGACCACAGATGCCTTAGAAATATTGCTGGCGTCTGCTGGGATCACCGGGTAAGTAATAGTGAGGTTAGACGCAGGGTATTAGGGAATGATGGTAAATCAGTTGATGAGGTTATGAATCTTCATCGACTGAGATGGTTGGGCCACGTGTTACGTATGCCTGAATACCGATTACCACGACGTGCAATGCTATCCGGTATTGGAGATGGTTGGAAGAGAGTTAGGGGCGGCCAAACCAAAACGTGGCATCAGTGCTTGAAGTCACTAACTTCTAGTCTGAGCCATGTTGGTAGATGCAGACTACTTGGTTGGGGTCCGCGTGACTATCGTAACCAATGGTTGGAGACTCTTGGTGACATGGCTCAGAATCGATCACAATGGCGTCGGTGTATACACTCCCTGTCTTCCCTTAAACTAAGAGATTAAAATCGCTTCATATCTTTCTTTCTAAGAACCAATTCTTTCTTCTTGTACTATATCTCTATATGCAATCTTTCTCTTACATATTACTACCTTTGGCCTAACCACTGCTATGAATCAGGTGTTCATCTTGTTGTGCTGATGCGGTATGGCAACCTGGACCGATGCACATATGTGCCTGGTCCTACGTTGTAGCTGACTGACTGACTGAAATGGTATGGCTAGGACTTGCAGGCGTTGTCCTTGTTGAGTGTTACCTCATACCTTATACTCTAATTAAATATATTATTCTATCTCTAGCCTAAGTGTGTTCTTCATCATATATTGATGATTGTTACGATGCGACAAGGTGGTGCATATAATATTGTGACTTCAAATCATAACAACCGAGGATGGAAAACTTACGACTAGTAATACTTGGTTCTGGAGAAACATCCAATTATTACCGAGGGTTGTGTATACAGTGTAGGCGTTTGTTCTGTATTAACTCTTGCAGCTACCTAGATACACGAACTTCTCGACTACTTCTATCTGTTCATCATCCAGGGTGAGTGCAGGATTAGAATCCTGCCAGTCTTATAGAAGTACTTTGCACTTCGAAGGTGCAAAGCACATACCATACCTACGGACACTGATTGCCAACTGATTAAGTGCGGATTGCATGCCTTGGGCATTATCGCACAGTAAGACAATATCGTCCGCATACTCAAGGTCGTGAAGTCTTTCTCCAGGAAACAGATCCACACCACCATTACTTACATCCATCAGAGCTGCTTCCAGAATGTCATCGATGGCAAAGTTGAAGAGGAATGGTAAGATTGGGCAACCGTGCCTAACCCCACTGTTCGAATGGAACAATGGAGAGAGATGGTTGTATGCCCTCACTCTGCCTGAGGTGTTTGTATATAGGGCTTTTAGGATGTTAATAAACTTCTGAGGCACGTCCTTCTTCAATAGACAATCCCAGAGAACAGTCCTATCCAACGAATCGAAGGCAGCCCTGATGTCAAGAAACACTACGATTGTTGGCCTTTGATAAGTATGGCGGTGTTCTAACATTTGGCGGAAGGTGAAGATATGATCAATACATCCTCGACCAGAACGAAACTCAGCCTGCTCCTCGCGAGTCAATCATTCTCGAGTTTTGAACAACTTACGAAGTATGACAGAAGCCAATAGCTTGGACGCAATCGGAAGTAGACTTATCCCCCGATAGTTGTTTCAGGAACGACGTGAACCCTTTTTAAAGATAGGGACAACTATCGACTCATTCCATGACGTTGGCACACTCTCTAGCTTCAGACCTTTGTAAACAACGCCGTCAGTTCCTTAGTCAGAAAGTCACCACCATGTTTAAAAGAGCCGGAGGTAAGTCATCTGGACCAGGTGATTTGTAACGCTTCAAGAGTTGGAGTTCCTTGGGGACTTCCACCTCATTTGGTGGATCAGTCATCACCGGCCATGGAGGGCAGGACAGTCTGACCGATGTTGCCGGAGCAGCAGGACAGTCTGACCGATGTTGCCGGAGCAGCAGGACAGTTGAACTGCCCTTCGAAAAATTCTGCCCATCGTCCAAGACGTCGATGGATGTTAGTGATTGGCATCCCATCATCCTCGCAGATTGTTTCACTCACACCACACTTCTTGCTGCCAGTGGCTCGGATAATTGGGAAGAGATTCCGGTAATTACCAGGTGCAGCTGCTGCTTCCAGTTCATTAGCACTCTCCGACCACCAAGCTTCTCGGTCCTTACGCAAGCTTTGCCCAATTTCCTTACGTAACATCCTTCGTTTATGGTCAAACTCACGGTCACCCGGAGTAGACCGACGGGCTTCAATGAGTTGTAAGGAGCCTGAAGAAACCCAGTGCTTATAAGCGGGACGTTTCGCAAACCCACAACTGACTGTACCCGCCATTTTCATGGCGTCATGCAATTGCAACCAATGCTCATCTATACTTTTCGGTGGGATGGTAGCTAGCCTAGAGGCTAGCTCGGTTCGATACTTACTAGCAACAGAAGTTGCAACCAGCTTGCTAACATCAATCCGTTGGTGGTGGTCACTTCGTTGTCCACAGAAAAGTAAGGCAAGATTGGCGCAGACCAAAGCATGGTCAGAGTCCAGATAGGTACTCGAAAAGAAGCGGCAGTCTTGTACACAACCAGAATGGTCAGATCTCTTGCTGACCATTTCTCTAGGATGAGCTACAGCCTCTCATGAAATTAGTCTTTGTCATTCTCCTTCCTACTGTTGGTGATTTGGTAGCACTGGATGATGTTCATTGTGATCATGTCCGCTTTTATTTTGAAAGATGCTTTAATGTATACATGTGGCCATGTGAGAGCGTTTCGAGAGGAAGAGCGGACTCTCCCCACCCTTGGTCCTATCAAGGCATTTATGGGCCAACACCTTGTATGTGGGAAGCATCGTGTGCTTCATGACCATAATAAGACAACACCTTTTTTAAAGTTTGCCTTTTCTACCCAGACTATATTCAATGGGTTTCGCTTCTTCCAAATACAGCCAGATTGTTTAGTCTTATTTTTGCGACTATGTTAAAAACTCATCCCGTCTCTCACATTGTTCAAACATTCCACGTCCATTTATTCGTCATTGTTTTCGGTTGTCAGAAAGAGCGTCGGCATCTTGACTTTCAAAAAGTCTCGACTTCCCGAATTCGACACTATAAATCTTCTATATGAAGACTCATCAAGTCACAGCTGAAGGTCTAATTAGTTTTCTGTGGTTGGCGTTCTTTTCAGTAGACTTATTTTTCATAAGGTAGATTCGTTAAGCTTACGATCAACTGTGGTCCTAAAGGACCGGGACTAGCTCTACGCGGAGTTAATTGTACTCAGTATTATTAAATATTTTGAATAATTTCAGTTGCTGGATTAATATTTTTATTTGTCCATCTTTTTTTCTTTAGAATAGTCCACCTACTACTAGACTGATTGTCGACAACAAATCATCAAACACCCGTATACTTCGTCAATATAGCAGTAATAATAATTGTACATTTACTTTGTTAAGTGATGATGAGAATGAGAATGTATATCCGCAAACAAACATTGCTACCGATAAATCCCTAAACTTCGGTGATGATGTAAACACTAGTGATGAAGACGAAGCAGGTGTGGATTTAAAAAAAATTGAAAGCGAACGAAGTTTACCATTTACGGTAGTGACTGATATTAATGTGAGTACATGTGTAATATTCACTCTCTTCTTCATCGTCTATCATATTTATCTGGATAGCCAGGATTTTTTTGTACTATTGATATATTGTAGAATATGGGTACAAACCTAGGTAGAGATAGTTGACATGATTTGGCTTTTATCTAGAAAACCAATAAGCAAACTGAACAACTGTTTTTTCTTAGTATGTAATCTTTAAGTAGTGTACATATATTATACTTTCAAGAATCAAATCGTAGACCGTCAACTCGTGGCAAGTATTTAATCTTTAGGAATTAATGAATTCAGTTATTTTTAATCAATGTAGACGCAAGCACAAATGTGCTTTGATCCACGTTTTCCTACTAAATCAACACTGCGACAAAATTAAGTCGATAAATAGCTATGTAATTGAAGTAATCGTGGTGGTAATGATAATATGAATGACAACATATTGGACATATGGTTCTCAAAGAAGGAACGTATGGAGGAACACTGAAAATGAAGATGTAAAGGAAGATAAGTGGTAATTACATATGTGCCACTGTATTGAACTTTACACCATATCACCCTGTTCTTCCAACCATTGGTCAGGATAATCACGCAGGCCCGACTACTGACTCCCTTTAGGCGAGATGTTGGTCAGTAGAATAGTAGGCTAGAAGAATACCAACTCTCCACATGGAAATGAGGGAGCAATTTCTGAAGCTATTGGCTGTTGGGTTGAACTGGTTCAGAAGTGAACAGTCCCTCTGAATCGATTCAATGTCAAACACAAGTGATTAGCGATTTGCATGCCGGTGAAAGATCATCGACAGATGCCTCTGGTCCACCTGATTCGACTGGTCAAATGCTCTCGTCTCGCTTATGCCAACTACATAACATCCAAGAAGCACGAATAGCTTTGAAATATCTATTCAGACAAGTAGGTTGTACTTTTTATTCTTTTCTAACCAGACTGACCAATTGATGCATCTGTCCAAATTGTCAAGCTACATTTGAATATAAGTGGTCACTGGGTAGACATATAACAACATACGTCCGTGCTATATGGTTTATTAATTTAATGATGTAAGTTACAGCAGAATGTCGATTCTGTAAACAGGCTTCGTAAAGTAATGCCATTAGGATATGAATTCCACTTATTTATTCTCTATAAAAATGTAGTGATCTGATTTGACTGGTGAACAGTTCTTTATTTTGCTTATTCTTGCCGTTTTTATTTATTTCATAGGCATCGTCATCTGAAGTTTCTAAGATTAATTTAGAAACTCAAGTATGTGAATTGGAATCCCAACTGAATGCAGAGAAACGAAAATCTGAGGAGAATGTAAGTTGGGATGATAAGTTTTCTACTGAAACACCAATACTCGAATGCATTTGTGAAGTTCTTAAGTCGATGCAAAAATCCTATACCATATGTGCCTTGCATCGACTTAAGAACTTCACAAATGCATTCGAGTATTGGTGTTTCAGTAGAAAACTTATCATCCCAACTTACATTCTCCTCAGATTTTCGTTTCTCTGCATTCAGTTGGGATTCCAATTCACATATTTGAGTTTCTAAATTAATCTTAGAAACTTCAGATGACGATGCCTATGAAATAAATAAAAACGGCAAGAATAAGCAAAATAAAGAACTGTTCACCAGTCAAATCAGATCACTACATTTTTATAGAGAATAAATAAGTGGAATTCATATCCTATTGGCAATGCTTTGCGAAGCCTGTTTACAGAATCGGCATTCTGCTGTAACTTACATCATTAAATTAATAAACCATATAGCACGGACGTATGTTGTTATATGTCTACTCAGTGACCACTTATATTCAAATGTAGCTTGACAATTTGGACAGATTCATCAATTGGTCAGTCTGGTTAGAAAAGAATAAAAAGTACAACCTACTTGTCTGAATAGATATTTCAAAGCTATTCGTGCTTCTTGGATGTTATGTAGTTGGCATAAGCGAGACGAGAGCATTTGACCAGTCGAATCAGGTGGACCAGAGGCATCTGTCGATGATCTTTCACCGGCATGCAAATCGCTAATCACTTGTGTTTGACATTGAATCGATTCAGTTAGACTGTTCACTTCTTTAATATACATATCATAAGGTTGACCGTCTTGTCGGCAACTTTATTTTGGCTTCGATCGTGCATAAACGACCACAAAGTGTTTTACGCGAATCCATAAAATGACTCAAATGATACCTAACAGCATCCATACTGATTTGGATATCTAAATCTGTTTTGACCAAAGCGCGAACTCGTGTAGCCAAATCATATCTGATAAATGTGATAAGAATTTAGACAGTTTAAACTATGGAACGAATGTTTACTCTGAAAGTCACAAAAGAAGTTGTGCTTATAAAGGAACTGAATATAACAAATACCGACATGCACGTAATAGGATTATCCGGTCAGCATAATAAAACTCGAAGCCTGACACGCGGAAATCGATATATCATGGGTTAACTGTATGTACTCAAGTATCTTATTGAGAGAGTGATGATAAACTCAATAGCGAATAGAGCTGAGGTCAAGCAAAATGCAGAGAAATTTTGGATAATGACGGTGAGTAACACATTCTGATATTGATAAATCGAATTCAAAGGTCGGTATTTTTTTCACCGAGTTTATAACACTAACGTAAATATGCAATATTTTGAGGAAACATACCATGAGCATACAATTAGCATAAACATATATCCACATCCAGTTACATACAGGTTAGTCGTGTTTCAGTCTAATCTACATGATAACTGTAAAATGCACAGAACAGATAAGTAGTCATAATTCACCACTGAAAAGTAAATGATTTTCCTGGAAATAGTGAAAATAACACCTTATCAAGACGCTCTTTGACGCATTAATTAACCTGATATATTTGTGTGTTTCTGTTTAATTTCGATAAGTAATAGGGACTAAATGATATGCTAATCTAGAATTGATGAAAACACTCATATCAATGTGTATTTTTAACCTAAAGAATTCGCTAGTTATTTTTTTTTGAAAGTGTACAATATAATGTTCGGTAATTGCATCAAGCTAATTCCATCGTTTATGATGTCAAACATATTCCAGTTAATCGATACCACGTGCATCTGCTGGATACTGCCATTTTACTGTAATTCTAACTGTTATATCTTACTTCTGAAGAATAAAATTGCTATATGCAGCAAATACAGACTTATTTGTTTTTATGGATATAGGGTGGTTCATGGGATTTTTAGCACGACTGTAATAATATTCTCACTAAGGAGCTAAGTGAGTGCGTAGACCAATGTAAGGTACCATACAGGGTGCCTCTGAGTTACTCGTGTTCCATTAGTGTCGGCAGAGACATTACTTGCTTATCATATGACATTTGAATAAGAAGCTATGGGATTAGACTCAGGGACGGTTAGGAAATATAACGCGTGTCCATCCATCAGTTGCCGTGGCAACTCATGATGGCTAGAATAAGTTGTTAGAGGACTCGAGTCTGTAGACTCCTCAAGAAAATGACGAAGATATGCACCAAATCAACTTATGAAGAGCGCCTCCAATCACTTGACCTCTACCCATTAGAGTATAAACGTCTTAGAGGTGACCTTCTAATGGCTTACAGTATCCTTAACACTTCTGGACACTCTCAAACACCTACTTACGCTTGGTTCCAACACTAACCTAAGAGGTAACACCCAAAAAGTGGAGACAACATAGCAGAACGGACTGTAGACGCAACTTCTACTCCTTAGGAGTTGTCAAATGCTGGAATTTTCTGCCGGCCGAGCTAGTCCAAGCGACTTCCCAGGAGTCCTTTAAGAGGCAAGTGGATCTATTCTTAAGGATTAAGGATAGTACCATACTATGATTTACCAATTTCTCTTTCCTCTTTTATTGTTAACATACCTAGGTTCCTGCCTGGAGGTTTTGGTGACCCTCTGCTATTAGACACGGAAGCCTGTTAAGCGAAAGCTTCTTCTATTCAGTCCACAACCATTTGAACACATGAACTAGGTGCTGAGAGGCTCGCTTATCACAAGTTTCTTGCAACGATTAAGTAGATAAGACAAAGTAGCATTAGATTCAAAGATTTATTCATGAACTTTCATTAAGAATCGAATATCAAAGAAAGGTTTAAACCAAGTCCCCGTTTAAACGTGTTGGTAATGTTAGGCTGCAGTTTTTGTTGTTTTTTCCAAACGAAAGAGTAAAAGAAGTCAAAAAATAGTGGAAGTGGTTGTGAGACTAAAATGGACGTCTAGCATTCTTTTTATTATCTGCTGTTCGTTGGGTCTCCCGTAAACAGTCCCATAGGGCCATAGTTCCAAGGGCGAAACAGTTTTTAGGGTCTGTGAAGGCTCACTCCTGTTGCATTCTAAATGAAAAAAATAGTGATGAATTTATTCAGAAATGTGAAACAGATAAATAAACAAATTACATGTTTTTTAGCAAAGAATTTATGCAGTTGTGATTTACCTCGAGTTCATGAATATTGGATAAGGTCAGCTACTATTAATTGCGCAAAGCAAAACATGGGCTTAGTACCGTATTGCAATGCTTTTATTATTTTGCTCCCGTTTAAGTATTCCCAAACATCTGCGTCTAGTTTATTAACAGGAAAACATACAAGCAGAGTTGGTGTCTGATGAACTAAAAGTCCCAGCTGTCAAAAAGATTCTAAACATTTGTCCACAGCCAGCGGCATCTAATTGAGACTGTAGTGGTTCTCAAAAAAAAGGAGCTTGTAAACGGTATATCAATACACTGGTTTGATAATAATATACTAAAAAAGAATTAATGGTAAAAAAACCGAAGTGCCTGTCTGTGAGTAAAAACCAAGAGTAACGAAATATAGTTACGATACAAATGGTATACTATACAAACAGTTACTCCCTCGAGAACTAGAGAGAGGTCTTGTAGATGTGAAATTGGAGATCAATAATTGTAATGCATCTAGTTTATTTTCAAAGCTGGCAACTGTTCGTTCGTGATGTGCTCGTAGTTCGCCTAACTCAGCAGTTAACGATGCTATGGTAGGAGTTTTCTTGTCGTTCGAAGTTTCTGATATTGTCTGTACGTAACGTGTAGTACAGGGTGTAATTTCTAGAATGTTATCGGCCATGCTAGCAAGGCTTTCTAAATCTAATGGTTGGCTAGAAGCGCAAACAATTTGCCTAATTACTGTTGGCAAACTTTGTAGCCAAATCTCCTTGAGGAAATCATCATCAAATTTATAATGGCCAGCCAATTGTCTCATGTGGTGTAATAATTGAGACGGTGACTTGTCGCCTAGCTCACATTCGTGCAGTAATTGTTGTAATCTCTTTTCATCCGATAATGAGGTACGTTGGATAATTGCCTGCTTCAATTGACCATACGGATTAGATGCAAGAATATTATCTATCAAATCTGATACCTCAGATGCTACTTCGGTAGGCAGTAGTCCAAGCACGAAAGAGTATTTTGATGTTTGTTAGCGTATATTACGACGCTGGACCTGTACTTTTACTTGGGCAAACCAAATGCGAGGGTTTAATCGACTGAATGGGGGCACATTTATCAGGTTTAAAGCGTGTAGGTCTGTTGAAAAGTTTCCTGGCTCGTGCCTTCGGTTTCGGAAGTGTACATTACAAATATACAAAAAAACAATTACTACCAAAAGGAAAGTAACACCGTAGCGTATGAGAGTGAACTCGGAATTAGTTTCGAAAACAAATTTACGGACTCACCAGATTTGTGGTGGTTCCCAACAAAAAGGAGCTTATAAACGGTATATCAATACACTAGTTTAATAATAATATACTAAAAAAGAATTATTGGTAAAGAAACCAAAGTGCCTGTCTGTGAGTAAAAACCAAGAGTAACGAAGTATAGTTACGATACAAATGGTATATTATACAAACAGACAATAACAGTTACTGTAGAATAAATGTTACTTGTGAGCTGCTTCGTGAGAACAACAACCACAAATAAGTTCACTCGATTAACGAAGGTTCCTCTGCAAGTAATTGCACCAACGGCCTATTGAGAATGATTACGTCCAATAGTATTATAATATAATAATCCGTGCCAGAATTCCAATGTGGTGTTCGGAAGGGTTAAAGGGATGTTATAACACCATTATAGTCTTCAATCAAAAACCATGGTCAATAAAGTAGAAGAACAAACGGTGTAGAGAGCGGTTTATAATTTTTAAACCTCGCGGTAGTAAAATCGTTCAAATGGAATAGAAGAAGCTTTCGCTTAACAGGCTTCCGTGTCTAGTAGCAGGGGATCACCAAATCCTCCAGGCAGGAACCTAGGTATGTTAACAATAAAAGAGGAAAAGAAATTGGTAAATCATAGTGTGATGCTGTCCTTGGTCCTTAAGAATAGGTCAAGTTGCCTCTTGAAGGACTCCTGAGAAGTCGCTTGGACTAGCTCGGCCGGCAGCGAATTCCAGCTTTTGACAACTCTTAAGGAGTAGAAGTTGTGTCTACATTCCGTCTTGCTATGTTGTGTTTCCAGTTTCTGGGTGTTACCCCTTAGGTTATTATTCGAACTAAGCTTAAGTAGGTGTTTAAGAGGATGTCCAGAAGTGTTAAGAATACTATAAGCCATTAATAAATCACCTCTAAGACGCCTATATTCTAGTGGGTAAAGGTCTAGTGAACGGAGGCGTTCTTCGTAAGGCTTAGATTTGAGTCCTCGAACTGATTTCGTGGCTCGCCGTTGGATACGCTCCAAAGTGACCTTGTCCTTTTGGAGTGAGGGGGGAGTACTATGTTTCCGTACTCTAAATGGGGACGGATGAAACTATTGAAGATTGTGTGGAAAGTTCTTCCGTCAAACTGGCCAAAAATGCGCCTCAACGTTACCAGTGCAAGGTTTGCTCGGAAGGCATTTTTGTCACAGTTAGCGTAAGACTTTAAGTCATGGGGCACCAGGACTCCTAAATCTTTTTCGACTTGGGATACTACTAGAGAGGAGTTTCCTAAGTTGTAACTGTAGTTTGCTACATGTCGCAGATGGACTACTTTACACTTTGAAGTGTTAAAGGTAAGTCCGTTATCGTCTGCCCAACTTTGAAGTCGCGTCAGATCCTCCTGAAGTGCCTGTGTATCGTCTTGGTTGCGTATCTCTCTCCAAAGTTTCACGTCGTCGGCAAAAAGTAATAAGTCTGACGTTACCTGTTGAGGAAGATCATTTATGTAGATCAAGAAGAGAAGAGGCCCTAGTACTGAGCCCTGGGGGACCCCACTAGGACATTCCATAGCCTGAGATAAAGTGAAATTAACCCTAACCTTAAAGTGTCGATTTTTTAGGTATGAAGTAAGCCAATCGATTAGAGGTGGTTTGATACCTAGTCGTTTGAGCTTGTTGATAAGACACAAGTGGTTAACCTTATCAAAAGCTTTTGAGAAATCAAGGTAAATGACATCAACCTTTCCCTTGCAATCGAGGATGCTTGTCCATTTGTCCACCGCAGTCAGCAGGTTGGTTATACAGGAGTAACCCTTCCTGAAACCATGCTGTTGGGGTGAGAAGAAATTTAAGGACAGTAGATAGTCATTTAAACCGTCGCATATCAGGGACTCCATGAGTTTTGAAGGTAATGACAGAAGAGCCACCGGCCGATAACTTGAAGGTTCATTGCGTCGACCACCTTTGAAAATTGGTGTGATGTGAGCCAACTTCCAATTTTCCGGTAATTTGCCTCGGCTAAGCGAGTGTGAAAACATCACGCTAAGCGGCGTTGCCAGGATTGAGGCTGCCTCCCTCAGTATGGCAGGATGAACCATATCCGGGCCAGGAGAAGTGTCAAGTCTTAAGTGCTGCAATTTCCGGAACACCAAGTCAGCGCTTAGGTCCACTTCAGAAAGTCCTGTGGAGTTGCAGATGAAACTGTCGTCAATAAAGTTGATGTCAGCCGGTTGAAATGTTTGAGAGTAATGGGCCGCCAGAAGGTTAGCGGCGTCGCCATCGTTGTTGGTCGGGCCGTTAAGACCTAGCAGTTGAGAAACTCCTGTTTTGGCTTGACGAAGAGAGGCTGCATAACGGAATAGGCTTCTAGGGTTAGAGGCGAATTTGTCCATAAGCTTTGTTTGGTACTGAAGCCTGTCTTCTCTTATAGCCTTCGTGCATGTGTTCCTGATATGTTTGTATTGCCTATACGCTCCATCGTTATTAGTTCGTTTGTATTCCGCCCAACAGT